ACCATGCACTTAATTAAAAGTTTGTAAAAATGCATCACAGATATCATGTAAATGTCACTCTGCTGCTCTTTAATATATCACATGCATCAAGCTATCGCAGTCTGATCCTGAGAAAATGCACTTAGCACAAGTTACATGGTTATGATCTGCACCACTGACTATCATTATAATTGGGTTATCAGGAGATGTTTGTGTGAATAAATGTGTGCGCACATGTGCATGTACTCAGGAAGGAGGGGAGGAGAAAATCACGTATTCCATGGTCAATGCTTTGGCAAATAATATGATAGTAATTTTTTTTGGCAATTTATTGATTTATTGATCAATTTATTTATTGATATTCATTAAGCTTTCTATGCTTACTTACTTTGATTTGTACATTAGAAGTTATCTTATCTTATGCTGTAGATTCTCCACCTTTAAGACTTTGCTTAAAAAATTCCCCATTGACAGAGAACTAATTAAATTAAACTCACCCACCTATAACTAGGAAATCTATCTTCTACATCGTGTGTCAGGAACCCAGGTTTGATAAGCTACTAGCTTCTGCTGGGCTAATCCTCACCACACTTTTTATAAATGATCATAAAAAGTAATTTTATATGGATTAGGTATAGATTGTTGTATAATGATATTATTTTTATAATAGTTATTATTTTTGATTGTTGTAAACAACTGTAATCTATTTTGTATGTGTGTGTGTGTCAGTGGCAAATGAATAAAATAAATAATGGTTGTAAACATGAATTTAAAAAACTGTGCACAACAATGGTATTTCTAGATAAATGAATACACCAGAAGCAGAAGTTTAATTGCTATTTTTCTCTGGCAGGTGCACCGACAAGTCAGCTGACCCAGTTGTATGTTTACAAGGTTCCTTTGCTCCATCAGGGAGCATCGAGTGCCAGGAATGTCCTCTGGGGTCTCACTGTCCAGCTAATGCGTTAGAGAAACATGTTCAATGTGATCCTGGTTCATATGCTAATGACACATCACTCACCAAGTGTTTAGAATGTCCAGCTGGATTCATTTGTCAAAATCCTGCTCTAGCCCCAGTGCCCTGTGAAAATGGAACTTACAGTAAAGGTGCTGCTACAAACTGTACCATGTGTCCAGCAGGTTTCAGGTAAACTATGATAGATTTTTCTCCCTGATGAAGGATTAAGGCTCAAAACATTAGCTGTTAAACTCTTTATGGTGGCCAATTTAAAATTTCAACTTAGCTGATATAACCAAATTACCTTGTTACCCCCATCAACGCAGCACCACAGTTTCTTTAGAAACTTACCGTAAAAGTCCACGGATAAACTGCACTGTTTTTCCAAAAATCATCGCCAGAAATTGGGAGTGCAGCTTATCTGCAGGAACATTTGAAAAAGGTGTCGTGAATGTCCATAATTTTTCGCATGTGATCTAATGCCTGGTTACCAAGCTTCAAATTTTCTGCTCACGTTCTTGTTGTAATGCTAAAATCTATGGAAAAGCTGTGTTGAATCAAGAAATTCCTGTCAACAAATACCAGAAAAAGACCAATCATATTTCAAAGTGAGTAGAAATGATGTTCATTATATTAAAGTGCTAAAATTGTGGTTAACAGTTTGAAGTATTTTCCGTTGCAATGTTAATGATGAGTTTATGTTTGATGAACAGTGGATGAAGAAGACTTCTCAAGACTCAACTTTGGATTTCTTTTGATTTCTATCCAAAAACTTTTTTTCCCAAAATTTGAGCTGCTAAATTCAGGGTGCGGCTTA